TAGGCGCCCAGGTCCTTGACAACTTGATATCAGCTAGCCAGCGATCTTCTTCCACCTCCGCCCCGCACTCCAACCCTGCAGCCACCTCGCCATCAACCCCTGCTTCACCCACCGCCTCAGCAACCTCCACATCCTTGCCAATGGCAGAGCCGTCCACCGCCGACCTAGCCAAGATGATCCAGGCCCTCACCACCACCATGAACCATCAGTGACCTTCAACAGCAGGTCGCCGCTCTTCAGCATGCGTAGCCATAGGCGTTCTCTGGCTCAGGATCGCCCTGCTCGGGCCACGGCGACCACCACAGGGACCGTCCACCTCGGTTCCAGAAGCTAGACTTTCCCAAGTTCGACAGGAAATCTGATCCGCTGGCCTTCCTTAACCGATGTGAGTTGTATTTCCATCAACAACGTATTGCAACTGAGGAGCAAGTTTGGACGGCATCATACAACCTGGAAGACGGCACCCAGACGTGGTTCATCCAAGTGCAGCAGGACGAGGGTACGCCGTCTTGGCACCGCTTCTCCAAGCTCCTCAACCTTCGCTTTGGGCCGCCGATCCGCTCCAATCCCCTTGGTGAGCTGATGGCGTGCAAGCGGACGAGCTCGGTAGCAGAGTACCAGAACCGCTTCGAGGCGTTGCTTCCTCGCGTCGGCACGGTCACTGAGGCACAGCGCGTACAAGCGTTTACAGCCGGACTGCAGCCGCCGCTTAGCCTCGACGTGGAAATCCACAATCCGTAGTCCCTCATCATCGCCATGAGCCTCACGCGCCAGATGGAGCTGCGCGAGCAGTACTACACCGCTGTTGTTCCAGCTCCAGTTGCGCCATGGCAGGCCACACGTGGCCTCTTGACGGGGCCACCACCATAGCTGGCCCTGCCAGGCCCCCATCCCATGCAGCCACCCCTTCCCTCACCGTCGAGGGCCGCCAAGTGAAGCGGCTGTCCCAATCAGAGATGGAGGAGCAGCGTCGATTGGGCCTCTATTTCAACTGCAACGAGAAATTTGGCAAGGGTCACAACCGTGTCTGCAAGCACATCGTCCTCCTCGATCTGGCCGAGGCCGATGACAACGACGACCCTGAGCAGACCGATGCTGCGGTTGACAGCCCAATCATCTCACTTCTGGCCATGGTAGGCGTCCACTCCAGCGAGACCATGCAGGTCCGCATCTAGCTGGGTGGGGCATCCTTACTGGCCCGCTGGACTCGGGCTCCACCCACAACTTCGTGTCCAAGGAAGCAGCGGCACGCACCTCCCTCAAGCTTCAACCCCGCGGCAACATGAAGGTCACGGTGGCCAATGGGGAACGGGCGCCGGCTCCAGCGTCTACCGTGTCGTTCCCTTCTCCATCGCCAGCGAACCGTTCTCCACCAACTTCTTCGCACTACCGCTGGCTGGTTATGACATTGTCCTCGGCACCGAGTGGCTGGCCTCCCTTGGCCCGATCCTCTGGGATTTTGGCGCACTCACCATGTCCTTCTGGCACCGAGATCATAGGGTGTGTTGGACAGGCATCGCCGGGGGCACCGGCCCTTCTCTACGAGCGTGCAGCGCGGATGATCTCTTACCAGCCCTGCTGGATGAGTTCGTTGCGGTCTTCACCGAGCCGACTGGCATGCCTCCGCCTCGATCTCGGGATCACTGCATCAACCTTATCCTGGGGTCCTCGCCGGTGGCGGTCCGAACCTACCGCTACCTCGCTTCACACAAGGATGAGCTGGAGCGCCAATGCACCACCATGCTGGAAACAGGGGCTTATCCAGCGCAGCACATCGACGTTCTCCTCCCCGGTCTTGCTAGTCAAGAAGGCCGATGTGACGTGGCGTTTCTGCGTCGAGCTACCGGGCCCTCAATGCTATTATAGTCAAGGATGCCTACCCCATTCCAGTGGTCGACGAGCTCTTGGATGAGTTGAATGGCGTCCGGTTCTTCACCAAGTTAGACCTCCGCTCCAGCTATCATCAGGTTCGCATGAACCCAGCCGATGTGGAGAAGACGGCGTTCAGAACCCACGATGGGCTCTATGAGTTCCTCGTCATGTCGTTCGGGCTGTGCAACGCCCCAGCAACATTCCAAGCATTGATGAACAACGTTCTCCACCCCTTCATGCGCCGCTTCATCTCGTCTTCTTCGACAACATACTAATCTACAGCGCCTCCCGGGATGAACACCTTCGCCATGTGCGCGCTGTCCTCACCGTGCTGCATCAACACTGGCTATTCATAAAAAGATCCAAGCGTGCCTTTGGTGTTGACTCCATCGCATATCTAGGGCACATCATTTCAGCACAGGGGGTGGCCATGGGTCCTGATAAAGTCTAGGCCGTCGCTGATTGGTCACAGCCCCAATCGGCGCGCGCGGTCCGGGGTTTCCTTGGGCTTGCGGGGTACTACCGCAAGTTTGTCAAGGATTTTGGTGCCAAAGCAGCACCCCTGACGGCCCTACTGAAGAAGGAGGGGTTCACCTAGAATGAGGCAGCGGCCGCAGCCTTCGTCGCCCTCAAGATGGCCATCACTACAGCACCGGTACTAGCCCTGCCCGACTTCGAGCAACCATTCATCGTGGAGTGCGACGCTTCGACACATGGCTTTGGGGTCATTCTCCATCAAGATCAGCACCCCATCACCTTCTTCAGCCGCCCTGCTGCCCCTCAACATCAATCCTTGGCGGCATATGAGCGGGAGTTGTTGGATTGGTGTTGGCCATCCACCATTGGAGGTCGTACCTTTGGGGACACCGCTTCCTGGTATGTACTGACCATTTCAGCCTCAAATTTCTTTTGGATCAGTGGCTGGCCACCATTCCCCAGCACCATTGGGTGGGCAAGCTGTTGGGCTTCGACTTCTCCGTGGAATACAAGGTGGGTATCACCAATACGGTAGCCAACGCCCTGTCCCGCCATGACACGGAGGAGGCAGCGATCTTGGCGCTATCAGGACCACGCTTTGACTTCATTGAGCGCCTGCGACAAGCTAATATTTAGGACCCCGCACTGGTCGCCATCAAGGAGGAGATCAGTTCCTCCCAGCACGCGGCTCCCTGGTCCCTCGTTGATGGGCTAGTCGCGTTCCAGGGCGCCTCTACATCCTGCCTGGCGCCCCCTCCTCTAGGAACTCCTCGCTGCCATTCACGATGACGGCCACGAAGGAGTCCAACGCACACTCCAGCGCCTCCGCCGTGACTTCCACTCGCCGAACCTGCGTGCCGTGGTCTAGGACTATGTGCGCGCATGCGCCACCTGCAACGCTACAAGTCCGAGCACCTACACCTAGCAGGCCATCTTCTTCCCCTGCTGGTGCCAACAACAGTTTGGGCGGACATCGGGATGGATTTCATCGAAGCTTTGCCGCGCGTGGGAGGCAAATCTGTCATCTTCACCATTGTTGATCGGTTCAGCAAATACTGCCACTTTATTCCGCTAGCCCATCCTTACTCCGCGGAGTCCGTGGCGTAGGCTTTCTTCTCCAACATCGTGCGCCTGCACGGTATCCCGCAGTCCATTGTCTCGGACAGGAACCCCGTGTTCACCTCCATCTTCTAGAAAGAGCTGCTGCGCCTCGCCGGAGTCAAGCTACACATGATGACGATGGCATTCCACCCGCAATCTGATGGCCAGACAGAGGCAGCCAACAAGGTGATCATCATGTATCTGCGCTGCCTGACTGGCGATCACCCCCGTCAGTGGCTGCACTGGCTGCCATGGGCGGAATACATCTACAACACCGCTTTTCAGTCCACGCTCAATACCACGCCATTTCAGCTCGTCTACGGCCGCGAGCCACCCTCCATCCGCTCCTATGAGCCTGGCAAAACCAAGGTGGCTGCGGTGGCCAAAACCATGGCTGAACGCGATAAAATGTTGGCTGATGCCCGGGCCTGGCTGGAGCAAGCTCAGGACGTCTACAAGCGGTTCTATGACAAGCATCACCGCGATGTTCACTACAGCGTGGGTGATTGGGTCTGGCTTCGTCTCCGCCATTGCGCCCCGGCCTCCCTCCACGGCGTCACCAAAGGGAAGCTGCGACCCTGGTACTATGGGCCGTACCGCATCTCTGCCATCATCAACGACGTCGCCTACCGTCTCAAGCTCCCTCCCCGCGCCCGGCTGCACGATGTCTTCCACGTTGGGCTTCTGAAGAAGTTCGTGGGTACTCCCCCGGTCACCCTCCCGGCTCTACCACCAATGCATCATGGCGCCACACAGCCGGTTCCAGAACGCGCCTCACGATCCAGGCTGGCCCGAGGCGTCCGCCAAGTCTTGATCCATTGGCAAGGCGAGCCCTCAGCCTCCGCTACCTGGGAGGACATTGACAGCTTCACCGAGCGTTACCCAAGCTTCCAGCTCGAGGACGAGCTGCTCATCATGGGGGGGAGATGTCATGTGGGGCCGATAGTACAGCCGCCGGCCTCGAACACAAGGTGTGGCCAGGGCAGTCCCCAAGGGGACGCATGGCCTGGAAGAACCCAAGGAGGTTTAGGCGGCTGGAGGGGCTTCAGTCTCTAAGGCAATTAAGTAGAAGTTGAAGAGATTAAGGAATTAATTAGCCAGCTAGCAGTTAATGGCTGGCGCAAGTAGCAATGGAGCAGAGCTCCTATATGTACCCCTGTACTTGTTGAAGGAAGTAAGAAAGAAGTTATTCCCTAATCTTCCTCTTTCTCTACTATTCTTAATCTCACCTCCTGCTGGGGTAGTCAGGCAAAAACCCTAGCACCTCCATTACCTGGTTCGAGTTATGAGCTGAGAAGTCAGGGGCCTCCAACTCTAGGCGTCCAGGTCCTTGACAACTTGTTTATTCCTTGCCAAAAAAAAATTGATTGTTTATTGGATTTGGCCATGTTAGTAGTTTTTTTCTTTAATTGCAACACGCAGACATATTTGCTAGGTAGCTATTAAAGACCAGCGAGCGGGTGTGGACGAATTTTTTGTCGTGCCACGCAGCGGCGCCTGGTTCTGGTTCAGCGCACTGCAGATAGCCAGCCTTGAAGCTTGTGACCCAGATGGCAGATGGTGTAGTGCTCCGAGCACATGAATACTACTTGGTACTACTCCCTCGGTCCGTAAAAGAGGAAGAGTATGTAATTCTCATTTTTTTAATTTTGATTGAATTTATATAAAAAATGTATTAACATTTATGATATAAGATAAGTATCATTAGATTAGTTATATAATATATTTTTATAATAAATTTATTTAGAGACATAAGTGTTAATACTATTTACTATAAACTTAGTTAAACTTAAGTTAGTTTGACCAGCACAGATCTCTTAAGACATTATGTGCAGTATGGTTGTTGGCGTTGTGCATCATTGACATTTACTCTCGCTCCTCACTAGCCGTCGTAAAAATTCTCTTATTTATAATATAATCATGAATTCATGGTCTTGGCCCCAACCAAGCCACCGTCGACGGCGACGACCATGACTTTGAGGCATGTGCCGATGTGCATGCAGCATGTGGCCATGGCCCATGACTCCATGAGTGCTCTACATGGCGGTGAATAGAAGAGCGACGGTGAACAGCAAGCAGTCACCCATGACGACTCCATGAGTGCTCAGACAAGTGAAAAGTGAAATACAAAGAACCCTCATTTCCCTCTCTACATCTCTGTTATTGTTCTTGTGTGTGCAAACAAAGAACTTGATTCGTCTACATAAAACGTTTTTTCTTCGCGAACCTGACACACGCAAAATACTGCGAGTTTTCCAGCGATTTGTCAAAGTAACAAAAAGAAAAACGTTGAAATTTTCAACAGCAGTGATATAAATAAAGGGTGAAAATTCACAAATGAAATGACTTGGTATCGTACTGTCCGTACATAGTGGATGTTCTATAAGATACAGCATGGCCACTGGCCACTGCAATTCCTCCGATCCAGTGACACCACACCATCTATCATCGGCAATGGCTTCCATTTCCTGGCCCGTACTGCTGTTCATCCTAGTATCAGCACAAAACTCTACACTACATCCGCCACCACTGGTGGTCATGGTGATAACCTCACTGCTGCTGCTTTTGAGTGCCTCCCTGACCAGGCCGCCTCGCTCCTCCGGCAGAAGCGATCGTTCTCCTTCGACTATGCCACCACCACCCTCCTGTCATGGGAAGGCGACGGCACCGATTGCTGCTGCTGGGAAGGTGTCGGCTGCGACACTGTGACCGGCCTTGTCAATGCTCTCAATCTCAGCAGCCGTGGCTTGTACAGCTACGGCATCGACCCAGCACTCTTCAACCTCACCTCCATGAAACTCCTCGACCTCAGCATGAACGACTTCGGTGGGTCGGAACTCCCAGCTGCAAGGTTTGAGAGGCTCTCTTCGACCAAGGACCACGATATAGTATTGGATAGTTAAGTGGATAGAACTTGCGTTCGTCGGAGCCTCGCCGCAGCTAGCTCCGCCGTCGCCGCCGGCGGCTCTGCCGAACGGTGCCTTTAGCCGAATACAAGTCGAACTTCTCATCTTCACGGCTATGACTACTTATCTCTCGTTACACGGGCTTCAGCCCACTACAGCCACGCAGGGCCCATCACTCTTGGGTATGGCCTTCTGGCCCTTTTGGTCAGCCCCCCTTCGCCTTCCTAATTCTCGCCAATGCCTTCGTCCTTCGTCACGGGAGAGACTGGTGCTCTGGTGACACTCCTCCGCCCTTGAAAGACGACTTGACCCCAAGCCGGTGCTCGGGGGAACTGCTGGCGAAGGGCGTCTTCATCTTCCCATGTAGACAGCTCCAGAGGTGTACGTGACCAGCGGACAAGAAGTTGAGGCTGCGTCTTGTCGCGATGAACGTGCAGGCGACAATCCAGAATCTCCAAAGGTATCTGAAGACTGTCAGAAAGAACGGGTAACTGAACATACCAAGTGATTAGGAGGCACTGCTTTCTTCAACTGTGATACATGAAAGGTTGGATGAATTCTGGACTCATCAGGGAGCTGTATAGTGTGTGCTGTTGAACCAATCTTGGCTATGATCAGATAGGGCCCGAAGTAACGAAATGAGAGTTTGTTGGATGACCTGGAAGCAACAGACGACTGAACATAAGGCTGTAACTTCAAATAAACATAATCCCCCACGGCAAAGGATCTGTCAGAACGTTTCTTGTCAGCCTGAGTTTTCATCTTCTTCTGAACTCTGAGCAAATGTTGTTGTAACAATTGCTGCATGAGAGATCTGTCCTTAAGTCACTCATCCTGGTCTTCAACGGCACAATTCTCCACATCGATTCCTAGTTGGCGTGGCTCATGACCATAGAGGACATAGAATGGTATCTTGTTCAAAGAAGAGTGGAATGATGTATTGTACCAAAATTCAGCCAAAGACAGCCAATTAGACCACTTAATAGGGCATGCATGGACAAAACAGCGGAGATAAGTTTCCAAACACTGGTTAACCCGCTCTATTTGTCCATCCATTTGAGGGTGATATGCTGAGCTCATTCAAAGTTCAGTGCCAGTCAGTTTGAATAGAGTTTGTCACAGATTGCTTGTAAATATTTTGTCTCGACCATAGATCATTGCTAATGGAAGTCCATGGAGTTTGAAAACAGAATCCATGTAATGTACAGCAACTTGCATTGCAGTAAAAGGGTGGGAGAGGGGTATAAAGTGTGCATACTTGGAGAATTTATCCACAACCAGCAATATAGAGTTGTATTGCTTGGACTTGGGCAAACCTTCAATGAAGTCCAAATAAACCACCTGCCATGCAGCTTCAGGGACAGGCAATGGTGACAAAAGTCCAGGATATGGCACCCTTTCAGGTTTGGCCTGCTGACAGACAGAGCACTGAGAAACAAAGTCAACGACGAACTGTTTCAGTTTTGGTCAAGCAAACAATTTCTTGATTCGGTGATAAGTGGCCTCCATGCCAGAATGGCCTCCCAATGGACTTGCATGAAGAGCATTGGTGATTTTATGATGTAGTTCACTTAGTGATCCCAGCCATAATCTTTGCTTAAATTTGATAAGGTCATTGTTCAGGGAGAAATGACCAATGGGAGAAGAAACTGATAGCTGCTGTAGTAAATCAGACAACTCAGGATCTGGTAGATATGCAGTTTGTAAGTCAGTCAACCAGATAGGTTGCAAGACCGAGGTAGCAACTAATTCAGACGATTCCTGGTGAGTTGCTCGAGACAGAGCGTCAGCTACAGAATTTTCGGATCCCTTCTTGTATAGTATTTTGAAATTTAGTCCCATCAGTTTGGTCAATGCTTTATGTTGCCATGGAGTAGTAAGGCGCTGATCATCTAAGTGTAACAAACTCTTGTGATCAGTTTTTAGAATGAGCTCAGAGTGTTGCAAGTATGGGCGCCAATGGTCAACAACAATCATGATGGCCAAACATTCCTTGTCGTAGGTGGAGAGACCCTGAGATTTAGGACTAAGAGCCTTGCTCACATATGCCAAAGGATGTCCCTCTTGCTGAAGAACCGCTCCCACTGCTTTGTCTGAGGCATCAGTCTCAATACAAAAGGGCTTACTGAAATTTGGCAGTTGTAGCACAGGTGCTGAAATCAATGCTTGTTTCAAGGCATCAAATGCAACTTGAGTCTCAAAGGTCCAAAGAAATAAGACTCCTTTCTTGAGTAAATTTGTAAGTGGCTTGCTCAAAAGTCCAAAATTCCTTACAAACTTTGTGTAGTATCCCGCCATACCCAAAAAGCTTCTGAGCCCCTTGACAGTCACAGGTGGAGGCCAATTCTGTATGATGGTGACTTTATCAGGATCAGTGGCAACACCATTAGCACTAATCAGATGGCCCAAGTATTTGAGTTCTTGTTGTGCAAAAGCACATTTCTTAAGTTTTACTTGAAACTTGTGTTGTCTCAATGCCTCAAACACAAGTATGATATGTTGTAAGTGCTCTGGCCAGGAAGAACTATATATTAATATGTCACCTATAAAGACGACCACAAACACCCTCAAGAATGGAGCCAGTACATGATTCATCACAGATTAGAATGTGGCTGGCCCACCAGTAACTCTATAAGGCATAACTTGATACTCATAATGACCATTGTGGGTCTGGAAGGTTGTTTTATGCTTTTCTCCAGGTGCCAGTCGGATCTGATGAAAGGCATAGCTTAGATCCAATGATGTAAACCAAGATGATCCACCAAGTTCATCTAGTATTTCATCAATAATGGGTAATGGGTATTTGTTCTTCACTGTAAATGCATTGAGCTTCCTATAGTCGACACATAACCTCCAATCTCCAGTCTTCTTCTTGACCAAAAGGGCAGGAGATGAAAATGGACTGCTGCTGAGTTGGATAAGTCCTTTCTCCAACATTTCCTTGATTTGTGTCTCGATCTCTGTCTTTTGCGCCGGGTTATATCTGTAAGGCCTTAGTTTGAAGGGCTGCACCCCGGGAAGCAATGGAATCGTATGGTCCCCCGGTCGGCTAGGAGGTAACCCAGAGATAGGTTCAAATTTATCAGCAAACTCATTGATGAGTGCCTAAATTTCACCAGGTAACACAGGCATATCGGGTGCAGGATCAGTGTTGAGATTCACTTGTACTTGATAGAGGACAGAATTGTCCTTGATCAATGCTTGAAGCTGGTGAACTGTAATAGGAGGCCCCATGGTAACAGTACTGCAAATACCCTTAAGAGTACCCAGTGCAGAGAGCTCCCGCTCTGTGCGGGGTCTGGGGAAGGGTGTCAGTGGCAAGCCTTACCCTCGCCTGTGCAATGCGAGGAGACCGCGACTCGAACCCGGGACCTTCCGGTCACAGGCGGTAAGACTCTACCGCTTGCACCAGGCCCTTAAGAGTGACCAAAGAATTACCATGAGAAAATTGTAGCCACTTATCCTGCCAGTGAACTTGCATTGGGTTGTTTTGCTGAAGCCAATCCATTCCCAAGATAATATCATAACTGTTACGTGGAATGATCTTGAAAGTGGTGTTGAAAGTGTACCCACTGACACCCCAAACTTGATTCTTCAATTGATGGGTACAGTTGATGATACTGCCATTAGCCACTCTGACTTGAATGGGATGATGCAGAACTGTCCAACCAGGTATAGATGCAGCGAGCTGTTCACTGATGAACGAGTGAGTGCTGCCGGAATCAATCAACATATATGCCTTATGAGCAGCTATGTAACCCTGCAATCTGATCGTTCTACTAGGCTCGGTGCCTCTGATGGCCTGTACAGTGATATGCATCAAATCATCGCCAGAGTCACTGTAAACAGCTGGACATTCAGTAGAGTACTCAGAATTATTATCATCAAACAATTTCCATATTTCTTTGATGGCATTGAGAGATATAGCCTTGGGGCATTTGTGACCTGGGCCCCATTTTTCACCACATTTGAAGCAAAGACCCTTGGCTCGGCGGTAAGACTTGAGGTCCGCCATGGCTTCAGCAGGGGTCTTGGAAGCAGACCCTTCTGGTGGACGAGTGTCTGCTCGATTAGAGGATGTGCTCTTAGTGTAAGGTGGAGACGGCTGCATAGAAGACTTGCTACCATCAATCGACACCTTCTCACCAAACGAATTATCCATATGGCGAAATTCATGCTTGCTCGTCCCGGTCAATACCTCCTCCTGCAAAAGTGCAATGGAACTAGCAGTATCGATGTCGTGGGGACGTTGTACCAAAACTACAGACTTAATATCATCACATAAACCATCGATGAAACGGTTTGTAATGAAAGAAGGATCTAAATGGGGGTTATGAACAAGTAACTGGTGGACAGTATCGCTAAAGGCTTCAATATACTCTGTGACTGTATGAGTTTGTTTGAGGTGGAAAAATTTGCGATGTAAGTGATCGTGCTCATCCCGATCAAACTTACTGCAAATGGCTGTACCTAACTCCTTCCAAGATAAATCACGAGCGAAAGCAGGAATGGTCTGAACCCAAAGGGAAGCAGAACCAATGAAATTCATGGTGGCAAGTTTGACCCATCGATGCTCAGGCACTGAATAGAGATCAAAGAAGGTTTCAGAATTCCAAATCCAGAGTTTGGGGTCACTACCGTCGAATTTTGGGAACTCAAATGGAGGTATAGCAGAATTCCAATTCAGAGCCAGGCCACTAGGTGTACAACCCATCGAACCAAATTGCAGAGCAGGGAGGTTCGGGGAATTTGGCGCACCTATGACCGGGGCAGGTTCCGGGGTAGTGGTATACACCACCCCGAAGCCAACACCCCGGTGAGTATGTTCTTCGCCGTGGTCAATTGACCTAGATGCCGCCCTCGGCGGGGGAGGCTCCAGATGGGCGGAGCCCGGCACCTTCGTGCTCGCGGAGGCAGAAGGATCCCCGTGATCTGCGGTCGGAGGAGCTGGGCGATGGTGACTGTACCTGCCAGCGCCGCCGCTAGATCCACCGGCTGAGCTTGCGGAAGTAGAGATCCGAGCGCCTGCTCCACGCGCTCGCCGAGATCCATCACCGTGTTCTCCAGCTCGCTGACGCGGTTGTTGACCAAGGGCTTCTAGGTGTTGATGTCGGACCGCAGAGCCCGCATCTCCACCATCGAGGTACGAAGTTCTTGGATCCCCTTCGAATTCTCGCCGAGCAGCGCCAGAATCTGGCCGAACTGCTCCTCCTCCAGCGACACCATGGACATCTATCGTCGGGTGAGGTGGGAGTGCGATGCCAGGGTCGAAGATCTGATACCAGATGTTACCAACCAAGGACCACGATATAGTATTGGATAGTTTAAGTGGATAGAACTTGCATTCGTCGGAGCCTCGCCGCAGCTAGCTCCGCCGCCGGCTCTGCTGAACGGTGCCTTTAGCTGAATACAAGTCAAACTTCTCCTCTTCACGGCTATGACTACTTATCTCTCGTTACACGGGCTTCAGCCCACTACAGCCACGCAGGGCCCATCACTCTTGGGTTTGGCTTTCTGGCCCTTTTGGTCAGCCCACCTTCGCCTTCCTGATTCACGCCAACGCCTTCGTCCTTCGTCACGGGAGAGACCGGTGCTCTAGTGACACAGTGCACTAGCTGAATATGTTCCTCGTCTCCGGGTTCTCAGCTTGGTGAGATGTGGACTCCAAGGTTCTATTGATCAATCGTTCTCGTGCCTTCGCTCCCTCGAGGTGATCAACCTTCGTCTCAACAGCATGTATGGTGCGTTCCCTTGGTATTTTGCGGATTTTCTTAACCTAAGTATGCTCATGCTTGTTGGATCTGATCTTGATGGGTTGTTCCCTCAGAAGATATTTGAACTCAAGAAACTCACATATCTTGAATTACCAGACAGCGCTAACCTGGTGGTGCAAGTCCAGAGCTTTCCAAATGGGAGTAGTTTGCAGATATTGGCTCTCGGTGGCACTAACCTCTCCATTGCTAATCCCAGCTCCATTGGAAACCTTAGGTCCTTGCAGTTTCTAGGGATTGATGCTGGAGTAATTTCAAAGGAATTCTCTTCCTCATTGAGCACTCTTGACTCTTTGGAAATGTTGGACCTCTCTCGATTTGTCTTGCAGAATGAGTCATGCTTCTCATGGATTGGTGACCTCAAGAACTTGATCTTCTTGACTCTTTCGCATGGCTACTTCTCTCGGACAACAAACTCTTGGATTGGTAATCTCACAAACTTGGAGGAATTGATCATTTTGAATTCGTTCTTCTCGGGACCAATACCAACTGAAATTGGAAATCTCAATAATCTGATGGTACTAACACTAGAAAACTCCAGCCTTTCTGGCAGCATACCGGTTTTGGATTGCTGATTTGAAACAGCTATCACATGTGGACCTTAGCTATAATAACCTCAGCGGTAAGATTTTGCTAATGACTTTTCCTGATATAAGATGTTACTAAGTAAACTACACTGTATCCTAATTTTATGAATATTGACTAGTGATACTCCCCCGTTTCTTTTTGTAAGGTGTGCATGCATTTAAAGATTCAAACCTCATAATTTTCATTTCAACAAGTAATTAGCTGTACAAGTTGTAAACTTTGTTATGCAAATGTAATATTATTGGATTTGTATTTGGAAACACTATCTTATGGTTACGATTTCGTTGCTAGAAACACAATGTTATAAGATAAACTATAGGTCAAAGAATAACATTAAAGACCGTGTCGGGTCAAAACGTATCTTATACTATAATAAAATAGAAAGAGTGTTATTTTTCCATCTTGGTTCAACATGTCTTGTAAGGTCTAGTTTGTCTCTGTATCCTGTTAAAATAAAATACTGATGCTTTCATTTAGGACATGTCATTTCTACTTTTTGTCTAGGTGGTTCCCAAAGGACCGAACAAATGACCAAACTATTATAAATAAAATACTAATGTTAGCTGGGCAATTTGTTGAATGTCATAACAATGGTAGAAAGTACTTTTTTCTCTTATTCAATTTAAGAAGTTTCTAGAAACTTGCCAAAACTTTGGCCATAAACATTGGTGTGCTGATTTTTTTTTACAATAAACCAACTGATGACTAAAATTTTTGGCTTGCCATAATTTTGGTCGGGCAAAAATTGGAAGATGGCTAAGCAAGCCCATCATGCCCCAATGATTCTTGATAGTTCGTTATTTATAATAGTATATTCCTACAACGGACAATAAAGTGATAATTCAATATTAGGGGGGTTCTTAATAATTTCCAAAAGATTAAGGTCTTATTTGGATCTCATGGTCTATAGTTTAGTTGGCCAAATAATGTTAAGGACTAAACTTTAGACCACTTTAGCTCATTTATGTAGTCTAATGAACTAATGGTATTTTTATAATAGGTTGACTAAAGTTTAGATATCACTTTAGATCACTCATTTAGAGCCTCAAGAGCTAAAGTGGTATAAAGTTCAGTGGCTGAACTTTAGATCATGAGATCCAAATAGAGCCGCCTAACATGAACCTTTTTTAATCGGTTCAGAAAACATAACTAACTACTGAAAGGTTCAGAAAACATAACTAACTACTGAAAGGTAACTGCTCCTTTACTTTCTGCAGGGGAAATACCAACACAACTATTTGCTCTTCCTGAGCTGAGAAGATTGGCTCTTAGAAACAACCAGCTATGTGGCTCCATACAGGAGTTCGATGCGTCATCTTCAGGCTTGGCATTTCTTGATTTGAAAGAAAATCAATTAAGCGGGCACATCCCAAGGTCATTTTCACAACTCCAAAGTTTGTATATTCTCGATCTTAGCATGAACAAACTTTTCAGGCATGCTTGAGCTTAATACGCTTTGGAGATTAAGAAAACTCAGTTTCCTTTCTCTCTCAAAACTCAAATAATAAGCTATCTGTCGTAGATGGAGAAGTTAACAACTCTTTACCTCCTATTCTCCCTAAAATAGACAGCCTATACCTCTCATCTTGCAAGCTAAGGAAAGTTCCAAGATCCTTGATGCATCTTAACCATACCCAAATTTTAGACCTTTCGAGCAATCAGATTCAAGGGACAATACCTGAGTGGTTGTGGAAGAAATGGAGCCATAGCCTCACCTATATGAATCTTTCTCGCAACAACTTTTCAAGTATGGAACTTTCTTCATATTTTCTCCCGAACATGCAGATGCAAACTCTTGACCTTAGCTACAATAATCTTCATGGCAAAGTTCCTATCCCAGGCCACCCAACATATCGACAACTTCTCGATTACTCAAATAACATTTTCTCATCAACCCCGGAAAACTTTTCTTGGTATCTTAGCCAAACTGCATATATTAGTTTTGCAAGAAACAACATAAGTGGACAGCTCCCGGACACCATTTGCAGAGCAAGGATGCTTGAAGTTCTTGACTTGTCATACAACAATTTTAATGGACTGATACCACCCTGTCTTATAGAAGATGGCCACTTGGGTCTATTAAATTTAAGGGAGAACAGATTTGAGGGAGCACTGTCTTTTGTTACCAAAAATCGTTGCACTCTTCAGACAATTGATTTGCATGGAAATAAAATTGAAGGACCACTTCCAAGGTTACTCTCAAACTGCAGCGAACTGGAGGTTATTGATTTTGGAAACAATCACATAGCTGACACATTCCCTTCTTGGCTGGGAAAGCTTTCCAATCTTCATGTCGTAGTTTTGAGATCCAACCAATTCTGTGGAGCCATATGTGACCCTCTACAAGAAGATAGATCTGAAGAATTTTTCACAAGTTTACAGATCATTGATCTTGCCTCAAATAACTTCTCAGGGTTTCTGTGCCCAAAATGGTTTGATGGATTGATGGCAATGGCGACAAAACAAAATACAGAAAAAATTGTCAGGGGTGAACATCTGTCTAGGGGATCCTACCAGGATATTGTTATAATCACCTACAAACGAATGTCCATGACATTTGAAAAGATATGAACCACCTTAATGGTGATAGACTTTTCAAATAACTATTTCCATGACAGGATTCCTGACAAGATTGGAAAGCTTGTTTCACTCCATGAACTTAACTTGTCACATAATGCTTTTGATGGGAAAATCCCTGCACAAATCGGTGGGATGACGGAACTGGAATCGCTAGCCTTATCTTCTATCAGCTTTCCGGTGAGATTCCACACGAATTGACAAATCTCACCTTTCTTGGCACCTTAGACTTGGGCAACAACAAATTGGTTGGCAGAATACCAGGATCACACCAATTCGGAACGTTCCCGAGAAGTTCGTTCGAAGGTAATGCAGGATTGTGTGGCGCGCCTCTGCCGAAACAATGCAAAAGCTCAGATGCTCAAAGTGAACCAAATGGGAGTAACTCATCGAGGCAAATCGATTTTGTTTTATATCTATTTTCTGGTGCAGGCTTTGGCATCGGATTTGGTGCAGCTATCCTGGTAAAATGGGGTCATATTGGCAAGTGGTGTAAAATTTAAGGCAATTTGGTGTGGCCCATATGGCCATGGCCAGGCCAGGCCACGGCGGGCAGCAAGAACTAGACCAGGCTAACCCATGCGCTAACTCCGGCTGATCTCTCGCACCCAAGGCCCAACGGATCATACGGTGGATCAAGTGGCCTGCCTTTTTTTTCACGTGGGCCAATGCAAGTCAAAACAAGCATGCGGATAAATGTTACAGATTTAAGACTTGTTTGGCATGGCCTTCGGAGGAGCAACAAAACATGACTTATGTACTCATTTTTCTCGTGGAGTGTTTTTTTATTCCGTTTTGCACCGTTACATGTTTGGTACAATCAGAACTACAAAACACGACTCATATTGTATATATATTTTGAATTAGTAGTTTTATATAATATTGAAATGTTACTTTTATGTACATTAGCTACTTCATTGATAAATTATCTATACATAATATTAAAGAGCTAAAGTTTTGTCCTATTATTTTAAATCCGCCTCCCCCTAACTAATTTCGTAAATGTAAAAATTGTCTCTGTTCATTTATCTATAGTCCTGTTTTATATACAACCTATGCAAGACTTCTACGGTAACCTAAATAGTTAGAAACCTAATATAGTAGATCCTTCAATCA